GGTACCGGAACGTGGCACCCGATCCATATTCTATCCTGGTACCAGAACGTGGCACCCGATCCATATACTATCCTGGTGTCGGAACGTGACACTCCGATCCTCATATACTATCCTGGTGTCGGAACGTGACACTCCAATCCTCATATACTATCTTGGTACCGGAACGTGGCACCCGATCCATATTCTATCCTGGTACCGGAACGTGGCACCCGATCCATATACTATCCTGGTGTCGGAACGTGACACTCCGATCCTCATATACTATCCTGGTACCGGAACGTGGCACCCGATCCCCTAATCTCACTACTTTCGTTCATCAAGCCTTCTTTTACACTAAGGCATCATCATTAACAAAGTAGATTAGGGTTTCTTTTCCAAGATTTAAGATTCAATAGCTTCATCATGCTTATTTCATCACAATTATATAACCACAACATGCAAACACACAATTAATCATATAGAAGGGTTTACAACACTACCCAATACATATCATTCGCTATTAAGAGTTTACTACGAATAGTGTATAAAAACCATAACCTACCTCCACCGAAGATTTTTGATCAAGCAAGCGATTTTCCAAAGCTTTGTTCTTCTTTGTTTCCCTCTTCTCTCGATCGTTTCTCTTTCCCTCTCCTTGTTCCTTCTATTTTTCTTATTCAAACCCTCTTTCTTTTACCCTAATTAGCATATAATTAAGAACAAAAGATGGCAATAATAACCCACTAATTAACTTAAGGTTACCTCTTTTAACCCCCAAATAATTAGACTTATTAAAATTAACCCACTAACTTTATAATTAAAGCAGGAATAGTCCAAAACGCCTCTTAAAATAATTACAGAAATCCGACCCAGCCTGGAATTACTGTTCATTTTTATTTGTTTGCTGAATTTTGTTACAATAGAAAGTTCCCTTGTTGATATCACTATACTTCAAACTGCTGTTGCAAAAGGAGCTGGTAATTTTCTTAACACTTTTTTCTCTTTTAATTCCATTTCATTTTTCTTTTTCTTTTTTTTTTTGGCTGAAGAATGTTTCTCAATTAATGTGCTTGAACTTTGGTTTTAAAATAAATTTAAAAAATTCTAATATTTTAAAACACTTTATGATGTTTCTCAATTTCTTTATATGTACACACATACAGGTGAATAAAGACACAAACAATTGTTATATATCTATCTATTTATCTATCTATGTGTTAGAATTATTTATTAACAACATCTCTATTGTGTGTATACATAATAGATTTATAAATATTTATTTGTTTGCATATTTATAACTAATGTTGTGTTTGTTATAGTTTGTTTGGATGGAAGTCCACCAGCATATCATCTTGATAGAGGATCAGGTACAGGAGAAAATAATTGGGTAATATTAATTGAGGTTAGTTTTGATACTTTTTAAAACTCAGTTATTCACATGAAATTTATTTCAATAATAATGAAAAAAGTATATATTTTTCAAAACCAAATCTCCATCCTTGAGATTGATTTATTAAATAAAAGTTTGCTTTAAATCAAGGAAAATGATTTATTAGAAAGTGGATTTCATAAACAAACAAATATTATTATAAGAGAATTATATTTATATATTATTAGCAAAATATTACGAAGGCAAATAGAAATGGGAAGTGTGTGAAAAATAAAAATGATTTTAAAGATATGACTAAATATCTAAATCTAGATATTTAGTAAAATTTTCTAAAATTATTTATTGTAATATCTTAAGTACTTGAGTGGAGGTTTGGAGTTGAAGCGGGTGGGATGGTAAGGGTGGATAAAAATAATAAATTTTAGGCAGTCATTTATGCAACTTGTTTTCTAGTCATTTTCCTCATTTTCAATAAGCTTGTTTTTCAAGAGAATAAGATTTTCAGACATAAAAAAAATAGATACATACATATATATATGCATATATATATTTTTCTTCATACCAAACACACTCATATATTTTTGTATATTTCTTCTATCTTAGAACAGCAACTTAATTATTAATCAAATGTTAAATAATGGATATTTAAGGGAGGTGGATGGTGCCAAAATGTTGCACAATGTCTTATGAGGAAGAATGGCAAGTACGACGGCTCTAGTGCAAAAATGGAAAACCAAGTTTATTTCTCTGGGATGTTGAGTAATGAACAGAAATTTAATCCAGGTAATCTTCTAAATTAATTTTATTATTCATTTCACATTTTATTTTAATTGGGATAGGAGAAGGGAAATTGAAGGAGGGGATTACAAGATGGAAATTAAACCATCACCGATATGGTGAAAGTTCAAATAACAAAATAACCGAACTATAAAGATTTCCTTCTTATAATGTATTTATGAAGCTTAGTTTGATTAAGGGCAAGTTACACATTTGGCCACACAATTATACGTTAAAGATAGCCTTTCGAAAATAGTTTTTTTCCTTCACAGGTGAAACGATTTATGTACTTTTTATTTTTTTTAGATTTCATTCATAAAGTTATACTGAGTTATTGTTATTGTATTATACATTAATATACCAAAAAAAATTATTTTGATAAACGGATATACAATATAAAATTCTCTTAATACAACTATGGTGTTTTTATAGATTTTTACAATTGGAATAGAGTTTTTGTTAGATATTGTGATGGAGGATCCTTTACGGGAGATATTGAAGCAATTGATCCTGTAAGTTACATTAAGTATATTCTTCAGAGCTCTTAATTTGTTAATTAGTACTAGTAATTATAATAATTAAAATTTTGGTTTTCTAAATCCAAAATTTGACAGGGTACTGGACTTCATTATAGAGGGGCAAGAATATTCAAAGCTATTATGGAGGAATTATTGGCCCAAGGAATGAATAAATCTGAAAATGTATGTATGATCACATTTAAATTCTTTAAGAAAAATATTCAACCTTTATATTAAAATTATTTTTAACATGACATATTAAATAAACATATTTTATTTTTAATGTTATTGACTTAATAGTTATAATGGTAGGCTATACTCTCTGGATGTTCAGCAGGAGGATTGACAACAATTTTGCATTGTGACAATTTTAGAATTTTATTACCAAATAGTGTTAAAGTTAAATGTTTTTCAGACGCTGGCTATTTTGTTAACATGTAAGTATTCTTTTTTCTTTATTTTTTTTATTTTTGGTAATTAAATTCTCGAAATTTATGTTCATAGTTATTACTCCTACTTTTATCGATTTAATTCTTCATATTATTAACAGATTAATCTGTATATATTCCAGTGAGGATATTTCAGGGGAACTATTTATTCAACAATTCTACAAAGATGTTGTCACTTTACATGTATGTCTAATTTCTCCACTTTTTCATGGTCTATAATTTTGATAAGCGTATTTTTTGCTCTTATATTTTATTTTCTATTTCGAATTTTAGGGCTCTGTAAAGAATTTGCCTCCGTCATGTACTTCAAAGTTGGAACCAGGTTTGGTAAGTGTAAGATAATATATATTAAGAACTAATATGTGTAGGATAGTCGAGTTAGTTGAGTAGGGAATTTCTCAAATAAAGATTTTCAAATTCAAATCCGTACATCCTTTTTTGATCAAACTCTTCGTACGAAACTCGTGTTTTATAATTATCTCTCCTCGAATAAGGGTAGCTATATTGGTTCCTTGTCATGAAAAACATAATATCAAGAACTAATTTTTCGTTCAATAACATTATAGGATCTTGTTAGCTAATTCCTCTGTGGCAATAACCAATTTTACCAATATTTATTTTAAATTTTGGAGATTAATTCCTCAAGGTAATTACATATATTAGAATTATTAAACAAATTAATGAAATTCCATATCTCAGATATTTTTTTTTTATTTAAATGGTGCAGTGTTTTTTCCCTCAAAATGTGGCTCAACAAATTCAAACGCCACTTTTCATTATAAATGCAGCATATGATAATTGGCAGGTCAGTTTATTGTATTTTTCATATTTGTTTCACATTATTTTTTTTCCATTTTGTCCTTCGCATATTATTAGATTTTTTTTTCTTCCTGGATTTTATATATATTTACTTTAAATTAAGGTAAGGAACATTTTGGCGCCACCCGGTACTGATCCCAAGGGTGCATGGAAGAGCTGTGGAGCTAATATAAAAACTTGTACAGCAGATCAGCTCAAAGTTCTTCAAGGTCAATGATATTTTTAATTTTTTCGATTTGTTATTTACTTATTTATCTCTAGATAACTTAGTGAACAAAGCATCCCGCGATAATAGTTTGGAGAAGGGCCACATCACTTCTTGTGTGGTGTAGTGAGTCTGTCCTAATGGATTTTTCACGGTTCAAACCTATGACCTATAGATTACACAAGGACAATCAACTGTTCTTTCAAACAATTATTTGAGTGTATCATATTTTGTTTTGGACCAACTTTTGAACAATATTTTAGGTTTCAGATTGGACTTTTTAAAGGCATTGGAAGGTCTAGGGTCATCTTCAACAAGAGGATATTACATCAACTCTTGCTTTGCACATTGCCAAACTCAAAAACAAGCTACTTGGTTTGGTCTCAATTCACCTAGATTACTCAACAAGGTAAAGCTAATTAGTAGATTTATAGTTTCTTTGGACAAGTTTTTAGAAAAAAATATTTTGTTTGTTTACCTATATAATTTTGTTTGATTTGTACTAAAGCGTAAACTACTCGTTTTTCTTTGTTACAGACAATAGCTGAAGCAGTAGGAGATTGGGTTCTGGAGAGAAATCAGTTTCAACAGATTGATTGCCCTTATCCTTGTGACAAAACATGTGGTTAAGCTTAAAGCCAGTCACATAATTAGTTTACAACATATAAATTTATGTCTTTTTCTATGAGATTTTTATGTCTCTTAAATCACAAATGCCATGAAGACATGAACTAGTTGAGGTGATACAACCTTGCAGCTCAAGAAATACTGATTTAACCAAAAAAAAAAAAA